AAAAAAATCAATCCAGGAGCTTTTTTTTTTTGTTTTTTTTTGTTTTTTTAAATTAACAACATAGACCACTAGCTAGACTAAGGAAAAGAGAAAAGAATCAAATAGACACAAGAAAAAATGATAAAGAGGATATCACCACTGACCCCACAGAAATACAAACTACCATTAGAAAAAACTATAAATACCTCTACACAAACAAGCTAGAAAATCTAGAAGAAATGGATAAATTCCTGAATGCATACACCCTACCAAGACTAAACCAGAAAGAAATTGAATCCCTGAATAGACCAATAATGAGCTCTGAAATTGAGGCAGTAATTAATAGCCTACCAACCAAAAATAGTCTAGGACCAGAGGGATTCAAAACTGAATTCTAACAGGTACAAAAAGGACCTAGTACCATTTCTTCTGAAACTATTTCAGACATTTGAAAAACAGGGAGTCCTTCCTAACTCATTTTATGAAGCCGGCATCATCCTGATACCAAAACCGGGAAGAGACACAAGAAAAAAAGTAAACCTCAGGCCAATATCTCTGTTGAACATCGCTGCAAAAATCCTCAATAAAATACTGGCAAACCGAATCCAGCAGCACATCAAAAAACTTACTCACCACAATCAAGTCATCTTCATCTCTGGGATGCAATGCTGGTTCAACATATGCAAATCAGGTAAACATAATCCATCACATAAACAGAACCAAGACATAAACCACATGATTATCTCAATAGATGCAGAAAAGGCCTTTGATAAAATTCAACATCCCTTCATGTTAAAAACTCTCAATAAACCATGTATTAATGGAATCTATCTTAACATAATAAATGCTATTTATGACAAACCCACAGCCAATATCATAGTGAATAGGCAAAAGCTGGAAGCATTCTGTTTGAAAACCGATATAAGACAAGGATGCCCTCTCTCACCACTCTTATTCAATGTATTATTGGAAGTTCTGGCCAGGGCAATTAGGCAAGGGAAAGAAATAAAATGTATTCAAATAGGAAAAGGGGAAGTCAAGTTGTCTCTGTTTGCAGATGACATGATTTTATATTTAGAAAACCCCATTGTCTCAGCCCCAAAACTTCTTGAACTGATAAGCAACTTCAGCAAAGTCTCAAGATACAAAATCAGTGTGCAAAATCATAAGCATTCCTATACACCAATAGTGGGCAAGCAAAGAGCCAAATCATGAATGAACTTCTATTCACAGTCACTACAAAGAGAATAAAATACCTAGGAATACAACTAACAAGGGATGTGAAGGACCTTTTAAAGGAGAACCACAAACCACTGCTCAAGGAAGTAAGAGACAACACAAACAAATGGAAAAACATTCCATGTTCATGGATAGAAAGAATGAATATCACGAAAATGGTCATACTACCAAAGTAATTTATAGATTCAATGCTATTCCTATCAAACTACCATTGGCATTCTTTACAGAATTAGAAAAAGCTATCTTAAGTTTCATGTGGAATCAAAGAAGACCCCATATAGTCAAGACAGTCCTAAGCAAAAAGAGCAAAGCTGGAAACATCACACTACATGACTTCAAACTATACTACAAGGCTACAGTAACCAAAACAGCATTGTACTGGTACCAAAACAGACATATAGACCAATGGAGCAGAACAGAGACCTCAGAAAGAACACCACACATCTACAATCATCTGATGCTCAACAAACCTTACAAAAACAAGCAATGGGGGAAGGATTTTCTATTCAGTAAATGGTGCTGGGAAAACTGCCTAGTTACATGCAGAAAACTGAAACTGGACCCTTTCCTTACAACTTATACAAAAATTAACTCAAGGGGGATTAAAGACTTAAGTGTAAAACCCAAAACCATAAAAACCCTACAAGAAAACCTAGGCAATACCATTCGAGACATAGGCATGGGCAAAAACTTCATGGCAAAAAAGCCAAAAGCAATGGCAACAAAAGCCAAAATTGACAAATGGGATCTAATTAAACTATAGAGCTTCTGCACAGCAAAAGAAACTATCATCAGAGTGAACAGGCAATCTACAGAGTGGGAGAACATTTTTGCAATCTACCCGTCTGACAAAGGTCTAATATCCAGAATTTACAAGGAACTTAAACATATTTACGAGAAAAAAAACAACTCCATCAAAAAGTGGGCAAAGGATATGAACAGATACTTCTCAAAAGAAGACATATATGCAGCCAAGAAGCATATGAAAAAAAGCTCAACATCACTGATTATTGGAAAAATGCAAGTCAAAACTACAATGAGATACCATTTCATGCGAGTTAGAATGGTGATCATTAAAAAGTCTGGAAACAATAGATGCTGGTGAGGCTATGGAAAAATAGGAACACTTTTACACTGTTGGTGGGAATGTAAATGAATTCAACCATTGTTGAAGACAGTGTGGTGATTCCTCAAGGGCTCTAGAACCAGAAATACCATTTGACTCAGCAATCCTATTACTGGGTATATACCCAAAGGAATATAAATCATTGTACTATAAAGATACCTGTACACATATGTGCATTGCAGCAGTATTTACAATAGCAAAGACATGGAACCAACCCAAATGCCCATCAATGATAGAGTAGATAAACAAAACATGGTACATATATACCATGGAATACTATGCAGCCATAAAAAGTAAAGAGATTATGTCCTTTGCAGGGACATGGATGAAGCTGGAAGCCATCATCCTCAGCAAACTAACACAGTAATAGAAAACCAAACACTGCATGTTCTCACTCATAAGTGGGAGTTGAACAGTGAGAGCACATGGACACAGAGAGGGGAGCAACACACACCAGGGCCTGTTAGTGGGTGAAGGGTGAGGGAGGGGAACTTAGAAGATGGGTCAATAGGTGAAGCAAACCACCATGGCACACATATGCCTATGTAACAAATGTGCATCTTCTACACATGTATCCCCCCTTTTTTTAAAGAATAAATAAAAAAAGATTTAATGGAATTGTTATAGGAAAGGGGTCCTGATTGAGACCCCAAGAGAAGGTTGTTAGACCTCACACAAGAAAGAATTTGAGGTGAATCCATAGAGCAAAATGAAAACAAGTTTAAGAAAGTAAAGGAATAAAAGAATGGTTACTCCATAGGCTGAGGAGAGGCTTGGGTTACTCAGCTAAGAATACTTATAGTTATTTTCGATTATATGCTAAACAGGGGGTGGATTATTCATGAGGTTTCCAAACAGGAAATGGATGGGCAACTCCTGGAACTGAAGGTTCTTCCCCTTTTAGGCCACATGAGGTAATTTCCTGACATTGCCATGGTATTTATACTGTCATGGCACTGGTGGGACTGTCCTATGGCATACTAATGCATTATAATTAGCATATAATGAGTAGTGAGGATGACTGGAGGTTGTTTTCATCACATTCTTGATTCTGGTGGGTTTTGGCCAACTGCTTTACCACATCCTATTTTATCCATGGGGTGTTTTGACCTGTATCTTGTGCCACCTATCTCATCTTGTGAGTTAGAATGCCCAACCTCCTGGGAATGCAGCCCCGTAGATATCAGCCTCATTTTACCTAGCTTCTACCCCAGATGGAGTCACTCTGGTCCTAATGCTTCTGACACTGCTATCTAATATGTGTTTGTGTTTCTCCCTATGTCATAAAATGGAATACTCATGCAATATGTGATTAAAACTCTTTTACCCGGCCGGGCGCGGTGGCTCAAGCCTGTAATCCCAGCACTGTGGGAGGCCGAGGCGGGTGGATCACGAGGTCAAGAGATCGAGACCATCCTGATCAACATGGTGAAAACCCGTCTCTACTAAAAATACAAAAAATTAGCTGGGCATGGTGGCGCGTGCCTGTAATCCCTGCTACTCAGGAGGCTGAGACAGGAGAATTGCCTGAACCCAGAAGGCGGAGGTTGCGNAGAGCGCGCCATTGCACTCCAGCCTGGGTAACAAGAGCAAAACTCCGTCTCAAAAAAAAAAAAAAAAACAAAAAAACTCTTTTACCCTCCCCCTTCATATCACATAGTTCATTCTAAAGCCAAAGATGGTGAATGTTTTTGGAATTGTTCCTTTGGGGTATTCTTGGCATTCTTATATCACCATGAGCTGACTCCCTCTCTATTTTTGTTACAATATGCTTTTGACGTGATTAAATGTGTCTTTATTTATTAGACTCCCATTTATCCTTCCAGATGGGACTGAGAAGGGATATGCTTATGTGGACTTTAACTACAGCGGTACCTTGCTGGCCTCTGTTGGTAGCAACCCAGACTACACACTGACTATCTGGAATTGGAAAGAAGAACAACCCATACTGAGGACAAAGGCTTTTTCTCAGGAGGTTTTTAAGGTTACTTTCAATCCTGATAATGAAGAGCAGCTTACTACATCAGGATCAGGCCACATCAAGTAGGTTGGGTAACCAATAGAGGTGCTAGTAGATATCACAGGGGTATTTTTCTAAGAATCTCTAAGAGCTAGAGACTTTTTTTTTTTTGCAGTTTTAGTTAACATTAGAATTATTTAAAAATACGTTATTTTAAAAGCTAATTAGTAATGCATCTTTTCTAATTAGATATGTGGGATTTTATTTCTGCAAGGAGCATAGATAAAATAAGGACTTTTTTTTTTTTTTTTTTTTTTTTTCTTTTTTTTTTTTTCCTTTTTTTTTTTGGTTTTTTTTTTTTTTTTTTTTTTTTTGAGATGGAGTTTCGCTCTTGTTACCAGGCTGGAGTGCAATGGTGTGATCTCGGCTCACCACACCTCCACCTCCTGGGTTCATGCGATTCTCCTGCCTTAGCCTCCTGAGTAGCTGGGACTGCAGGCACCCACCACTATGCCCAGCTAATTTTGTGTTTTTAGTAGAGACGGGGTTTCTGCATGTTGGTCAGGCTGGTCTTGAACTCCCAACCTCAGGTGATCTGCCCGCCTCAGCCTCTCAAAGTGCTGAGATTACAGGCGTGAGCCACGGTGCCTGGCCAATAAGGGCTTTTAAATACAGCCTGCTGCCTTCTTGTAGCCTCCACCTCCTAAAAGAGTTTGTGTAGTGTCTTAAAAACTAACATTGGGATGATATTTCCAAATTCATATTAAGTTTTCACATCCACTACTAAATTTCTTGTTTGTAGCAATTTAGTCTTCATCTGTAAAACAAGAATTATCACAGTATCATTCCTGACAAGAAACACTCAATACAAAACAGAGCCTACTCTTGATCTTAGGTCTTGCTCCAAACTCCACGCTCTTTTAATTATATCATAACCTCATCTATTTCCAGGATGGAATGATCTTGTCTTTCTCTATCTTTGTTCCACTTTGTCTCATGCCTTTATGTAACAACCTTCTACCACCCCCATCTGCCCATAACTTGACTATCAGTGTCTCTTTAAGAGAAAGACATTTTTATCCATCCTGAATTCCTCTTTTCTCAATTTAGATCTGGTCTTTTTATTATTCATTCGTTAGAAATATAGGCTAATTGAGCAGATTTTTAATTGTAATCATTAGGGAATTCTCAGATAACCCTCTGCTAGCTATTTGCAAAAGTTTTCCAATTTCTTATATTTTTCTATTACTTAGTAAAATCTGTCTTTTCTATGCCCCATATCTTTGGGAGAAAGGCAGACATTGAACAGTTAATTTCATGTGTGCTATAAAGGAACCCAGAGTATATAGAAGGGTATCATCAGGGGACCTACTATTCCTTTGGAGATGATGTAGGCTATATAGGCTTTTGGCTTTGTATCACTGGCTTGTTGGTACCCTCAATTATCTATTTTACATCTAGTTGGATAGGTCTTCTTTTTCTACATGGTCTTCATCATCCTGTCTGTTCATGTGTTTAGACTATGAATAAGAAAATGTTAGTCATAAGAATTATTGATTGCTTTGATCTGCTAGGCACTGTTCTAAGAATTTTTCAACAATTTAATGAGGTAGATGTTACTAATTTCCTTATTTTATACCTGAGAAAATGAAGATATAGGGTGATCAAGAAAAGCATTCAGAGTCACACAGCTAATACATTAGAATTCTTTGAAAAACTTTTTTCTCTAAAACAATACTGTCTAATACAACTTTCTGACAGACTGGGAATGTTCTATGCTGTCTAATACAGTAGCTGCCATCCACATGTAGTTACTTGAAATTGGCTAGTGTGACAGCAACACTGAAATTTTGATTTTGTTTAATGTTAATTATTTTAAATAGTCAAACACAGCTGCAGGCTACTGTATTAGGTAGCATAGCTCTAAAATATAAGATACATGAAGGAGGAAATTTTATTTTTCACCTGTTTTGATCATTGCTGAATTCATATTGCCTAGAACCTTGCCTGACAAGTAGTAGATACTACACAAATCTTAATCGGATGAATGAGTGAAATAATATATGTGACTATAAAATATGTAAATGTTTGGGTCATATTAAAATAAAAATCAGTAAACTATCTTTGAGGTACATTCAGTCTCTCGTTTGTTTGTAGGTTCTGGGAAATGGCTTTTACATTCACAGGTCTCAAGCTGCAGGGATCACTAGGTCGATTTGGCAAAACAACGTCTACTGATATAGAAGGCTACATGGAGCTCCCAGATGGGAAGGTGAGTATAGCCACTATTCTACAATAATAAAACTTTGTTTTCAAGTACATATATGAAATCATCCATACATGAAAATAAATTACATTCTAACAAGCTCTGCCAATAACAGATATTATCATTGTAAATGTAATGAACGTTTCTTTTTACTTCTTCAATTATCAGTTGTAATTAAAATATTTCCCTGAAATTGTCCTAATCTGTGTTTAACTACTATTTTTCTATTTTCTTGTTACTGAATCTTATACACACATATAAAGTATGTGAGGATTTTCATATATTAACATAGTTACATATTTGTTACTTGTAATTATGTCACAGAGTTGCAGTACTTATATTTATATAAGTATTTATATTACTTATTTTTCCCCATTTTGTCTTGCTATCACGATTGACGAAGACTTACTGGGTCAAAGGTTATATGCAACTTTGTGGCAGTTATTTTTATTGTTAAATTATTATTCAGGAAGAGCAAACCACTTTATAGAGGCATCTGGAACACTACAGCTGTAATCTGTTAGTTTATTCTTTAATATTGTTAGTTTCTTTCCTTTCTTCCTCTTATAAAATTTATAGGCATATTGCCTGAAACAATAGTTAATTAGGATTAGTTCTCCATCAATATTTTACATAGTGACCTTTTAGAATGAGTTATACATTATTATTTGAGATCATCTCAGTTGTAAGTAAATGGCAGCATACAAATGTTACTCTAGGGAACCAAGTGGTCTAGTCACCTACCTGAGTAAATATTCTCAATTTAAAAGCATGATATATAGGAGGAAATAAAAAGCCTTGGATGCTGGCTAAACTATGTATCTAAGTCCATGAGATGATCTTAAATCATTCCAGCTTCAAATTCTGAATACTGTAAAAATTAAGCTAAGATAAAGATCCGTAGAATCCTTGTTAAAAACATGGTCTGAGATATATCTTTTAAAGGGTTGGTAGAATTTGTATAGCTATAGGGAAGAAAGAAACCATTTTAAATGATAGACCAACTAAAGGAAGTGTTTAGCGTTAGAAATAAAGATCAGATTTTTAGAGGTCAGATTGGAATAAACCATTTATGTTGGCAAAGAGTGGAAAATTTCAGTTGAGAAGTATGACTGGGCCCTAGTGTACAAGGAGTTTAATATTTAGGCAGAAGTACTCTACATGGGAAGAGTAGACTTGCAAATGAAAGAAGTAATAAACAAATTTGGCCACAGAATGCCAGGTTGATGTGACGAAGGGAAATCTGGAGTCAAGGAAATGGGCTAGAATGGAAGCCGTTGCTGTCATCTAAAAAGAGGTGATCAAGGGCCTAGACTTCTCAGAACAAATGGAAAAGGAAAGCTAGATATGAGTGACATTTCAGAAAGTCACCTTTGCTGGCTTTCATCACTGGGCAGAAGAAAATAAGTCTAAAAGCTGTGTCATAAATGGCTGAGGCTTAAGAACAATCAGTAAAGTTGGTAGGGTTGCTAAAAAATAGGTAGACCCAAGGGATAAAAGACTGAATAAAATCATGTTTCTCTAGAAAGAGAGAAATGAAATTTCTCTAGAGAGGGAAATGAAAATGCAAACTTCTAGAGCATGCAGGCAAAATTGAGTTTCCCAAAGTGCATTTTTATGCAACATCAGTCTGTACAGAAGCTCTGTAAAAATAAGACTTTTTTTTTCCTTTTTTTCCTTTGTTGACTCCATCTTGCTTCTAAAAAAAAAAAAAATAAGACTTTTTAAGTCAAATTCCTTTGTACTGAAAAATTCCCCTTGGTAATTCCCAGCAAATAGTTCTTGTTAAGAGTTCCCAGTGATCCCAGAGAAAATAAAGTTGTTTGATTTTGTTTATCCTAGTGTCTGCATTCTAAGGCTGTGTAGTCAGAATGGAAAGCTTTGAGCCCCCTTGCCTGGATTAGAATGCTCACTGAGTAGTTTTGGGCAAGTTTGTGCTTCAGTGTTCTCCTCTGCAAAATGGGGATAATAATAGTCAGGGCTACCATTGGCCCATTTGTTTTTGTGTGTGTGAGTCAGAAAAAAGCTGTTTCTTCTAGGAGAATGAAGTACCCAACATGCACAACTGTACATGGTATCCCTGATAAATGTACCTAGTTCATGTTTTTTTGCATTAAATAACATATTTGAAGTACTGAACCAGTGCCTGACACAGAGTCAGTGCTCAATAAATATTACTTCATTTTGAGACACTTGTTAAACATCTTAAGAACTAATGTTTGGTGGTATGCACTTGGGGAAATGCCAAATTAAATGGATTAATTTGAGAAGGTTTTAGATGATTATCCTTGTTTGAAGTTGGATACTATTATGCCGTAATCTACTTAATTCAGGACTGGCCTTACAAGTTATCTAATATCTAAAATTTGATAGTGTTACACTTAAAAAGTAGACTGTCATCTAATTCCACTCCTGTATTTTGTCCTAAGAGACGTACCAAGAAGTCTATTGTATACATCAATGAACAGTTACCAACAACATTCAGCCTAATCACAAAGATGCAAAACTGATCATAATGCTAGAAGAAAATACATCAAAATGTTATTAGTAGTTGTATCTGGGGTAGTAGGTCTTTCTGTATTTTTTTTTCCATTTTAAAATTTTATAATCAATAAAGATAACCTTAAAAATAATTTCCACCTACTATTTGAGGCATGAATATGTACACTTAGCTGTTTTAATGCACATTCCTTTTTTCCACATACCTCCCAGGTGCTCTCAGGGTCAGAATGGGGTAACATGCTGCTTTGGGAAAGCGGTCTGATCAAAGTGGAGCTCTGTCGAGGTACAAGCAAGTCATGTCACAATGGTCCCATTAACCAGATAATGCTGTATGAGGGTGAAGTTATCACTGTTGGGTCAGATGGATGTGTTAGGGTAAGTTTTCTTGATACTTGGATGGTAGCACACATGTTTAAGGCTTGTAGGTCACCCAAAGGGTTTTATTTCTCATAAAGGTGATTTTGTGAAGAAGATCAGTAATCATTTATTCCCAAGGCCAACTCACTTTAAATAATGCTTCTCTTGTGGTAAATATTTGTATTCTCATCAAAATTAATTTACTGCACTTTACCACTGAGTGTAAAATGCAGTAAATTAGGAAGGCCTCTTATTATTTGGATTCTGTTGAAATAATAGCTTCAGAAGATGAAAACTCATGTTAGAACAGGATAAACAGTAGACCCACATATCCTTCCAGAAGGCTTCATATGAATGGGCCATGTTCTAGGAACAAAGGTGCTGAACATTTGTTAGTTATTTTTTACTGAAGTTACCAATTGGAAATACACCCAGATGTGAACTGATGGAGTTTGCCTATGAATGCTACACTCTTCTTGCTCCGTATGCTAAGCAACTCACTTGCTTCCTCTTGTGGACAGTCTCTTGCCCAAAGCCTGGGCTAAGCTGGAACACTGGTCCAGCTTCTAAGTCCCCCTTGCTGTTGTCACACGTCTCCCACCCACTATGTGTAGCACTTTCTGTTAATGAGTATCCCGCTGTGGCTGGTCAACCTGTAGCTTTGTGATTTGCCTTGTAGTCCTCTTGGTAGATATTTTCAATGGGGCCTTCCATAAGAAAGTGGAAGTGTTCTATTGACATTTGTTTCAGAAGTGTTATCAAAAGCTAGATTGTATTTTTTTGAGTCTGGTCACTCTGTTGCCAGCGATTGAGCTCACTGTGTTTAATATATTGTTTAATCCAAATCTCCGACAGTGGGTCCTCTTACCACTGGCTTTTTGAGCCCCTGTGTAGGTTTTAACATTTACAATATTACGTTTAATCTTGTTGGATTTCACACATTGCTCTGGGGAGCTTTATGTCCTTTATTTTGTCTTATATTTGCTGTCTTTCCAAGATATACGTTACCCCAAAATGTCTAAATACCAAGTGGGAGAAAATCTCAGGAGAAAAGAAGTTAAATATTTCACAGAGGATTTCTTCATGGACGCCAGTAATTCCTAAGCTTGCCTCTCTTTTCAGAGCCTGCCCTTGTCTTTTCAGTCCTTCACACTGTAAATCTCTACCTCTTACCCCTTAGAAAAAACCTACCCCAACTCCCAGAAGTTAGTCTGATCCTAGTCTGATCCCTAACCCTACTAACCCTGACCCTTAGATATTTCCCTCTTCTCCTAACTAGGCTAATCTATGAGACAGTCCCCTGGAGTTCTTTCTCAAAGCCTCAGTTATGCAGTCTAGGATCATATGGCAGAGTATGTCACCAGAACTGTCCAGAATGAGCTTTGGCCCCTCGCAGGGGAAGTCCTTCTGGGTCTCCCTGCTACCGTCAGGTGAAACTGTGCTCCCTCACTCTTCCTGTAGTATTCCTCTTCCAGTGAACTCCTCTCCCAAAGAACAACCACCTACACTTTGCTGTCTCACTGTGAGATAGTAACATTTTCTATCTCACTTATTATGAGATAGTAAAGGGTAAAATATTAATATTCAGGAAGAGAAACATTTTCTGATGGAGACTTTATCTACATCTATATTCTTTGCTTATAATGAGATAGTGCTTGAATCATTAAGCAAGAAGGTGTATTTCCCCTTTCCAGGGGCCTACTGGTGTTTAGAAAACAAGGCTCATTATAATGTCTTGCTGAATAGCCGAACCATGTACTCCTAATGGCCACTTTATGTAAAAAGAGACCTAATGGAAACCTTGAAATAAAATTTTTTTTTGACAAAATGAAATTCTTCTGCAAGGCTGTACTTTCTTACTAACTTTTTTAAATACAAAGGAACCTATAATAACTTATCATACCTCAGTTCAGAATGAAATTCCAGGGGTCAGGTTTTGGCTGGTGTTCTTATTATAGCTATTCATTGTTACTTTTCATGAAAGAAAAAGAAATGACTTGAAAAAAAAATTAGGGTTTTTCTGGCTTAGAAAATAAATGTTCAGAAACTAATGATTGATTAAAGTATTTTCATTTTACAAGATATGGGATTTTGAGACAATAGACACTGCTGATACAATAGATGAGACTGGATTGTTGGAGATTGAGCCTATTAATGAACTTCAAGTAGACAAGAACGTGAAACTCTTCTCTATGATAAAAATGAATGAAACTGGAAATAACTTTTGGTTGGCTCAGGTATGTTGCATTCTTCTCTCTTGGCTCTTTAACATTACATGGACAAAAAATTAAAATAATGATATGATTGATTTGACTAAAAGTCCATTTGACTGTGTTATGAGATTGTTTATTGTGTGGTTGTATTCTAAAATATAGTAGTTTTTTTTTTAAAAAATTTTAATTATACTTTATATGTGAGCTTTTGATATTATTGCTTGTCCTTACTTAAATCATAGGAAGAACTTTTGATGAAAGTTTACAATGATAAAATACTATTGGGTATTTAATTTTTTTAGGATGCCAATGGAGCCATATGGAAGCTTGACCTTAGTTTTTCAAATATTGTAAGTTGCCTATTATTCTTATCTTCCCCTAACTTTTATAACAAAATACAAAAAAATTTTGTTGTTTGTCTTTAAAGTATTCGTTATCTTTCTCCGTATTTGATCTTGGTTCTCATAAAAAACTTGCTCAACGTGCTACTCTTGAGAATTCTCTCCTTATAATTTTACATAAAAAAGTATCTGTCTCATAGCATAATTTACCAGAAAAGTGGCAGTGACAATACTTAACATGACATATGCTTGATAGTTTTTATAAATATATGGAATTTTCATTTATTTTATCTCACGTGGTCCTCATCACTGCCCTATTTAGTAGGCTAGCAGCTGTTATCATCTCATTTACAGATGAAGAAATGGAAACTGGAATTTGGGGTGACTTGTGCAAAATCACACAGCCATTAAGGGCAAAGCCCAGGACTCTATCTGGTTCTCCTGATTCTGAAGTCCAGTGTTCTTTCTAGCTTTTTGTGCTTTTTCTTATTTCTATCCAAATAAAATCACACGTGTTATATTGTTCTATTTACGTTTTTTAAAACATGTTAACCCTGTCTTTGAGATCCAGTAAGCTATCTGTCTGTTCTCAGACCCAGGACCCGGAATGCCTCTTCTCCTTCCATTCTGGAGCTATTGAAGCCGTGGCTGTTTCTCCTCTCACTTACCTCATGGCCACAACTGCCTTGGACTGTAAGTAGAAACTCTTTATTAAAATATATCTGGCCTTGTTTTGTTTTATTTGCAATACAATTTTTATATGTGTTTGACTTAAGAGCATTTGAGAATTTTCCCAAAAGGGGAGCCTCTTGAATGCAAGTGAAGGGAGCCGTAGAGAGGAGAGGGCACACAATGCAGCAGCCATGGTTATTGTGAGAGATTAAAATAAGGACACGATCTGTAAATTGTTCATGAAAATGCTGCTCATTTTGATATTGTCCACATTTGTAGTTTTTTTCTATTCTTTCCTTCTCCTTTCTTCCTTCTTATGGCAAATCTATATGGACTATGCAAGGTAAAATTGACCCACCAGTCAATCATCTGTTATCCTTTTTATTATTCATGTTTATGAATTGCCTGTTTAAGGTTGTACATGAAAATTTTTTACAAAAGAAAGTTATTCACTGATTTAGTTAAGAAATTTCTTGTTATAATTTTCAACGTGTAAAAAGTGAACCAAGACTTTACAAAATATGTATATAATTTTTTTTTTCTTTTAAAACTGTCTTTCCATAGGCTCTGTTCGAATCTATGATTTTGCTAGCAAAATTCCTTTGGCTCAGATGAAATTCAAACAAGGAGGTACTGCCCTTGTTTGGGTACCCCGAATGGTAAGTTTTTGTTATAATGAACTATTAGAATCTGTTGGTAAATATGATATATCAATTCTTTATCTTGGAAATACAGATATTTGCTGACTCATACTTTTAGGGAATAATAAAAGTTTTAAGTTAGTTTGTTTTAGTCGGAATGTAATAGAAATCTTTACCTTGATTGTTGTCATGAGTCTGGTCTTGTTTTTAGTAAAATTTCTGTTTTTATGCCACCTGCAGATTCGTAATACTTTCATGTTGCAAAGCAATTTCCCAACAGACCTTTGTATATCTAGCTTTTATCTATCTGACTTTGATTTCATTCATCTTATTAATATTTCCAGAGCACCAACAATGTGCCAAGTCTTGTTTTACTTTCTGCGAAGATAGCAGTGAATAAAAAGACAAAAATTACTTGCCCCTTATGGACCTTATGCTTTAGTGGGAGGGAGGCAGAGACAGCTAGTAGTCAAAATAAGTAAGTTAAGTACATGTTATGCTAGATAATGATAAGAACTACAGAAAAAAATAGGCTTGGATAGAGAGTTCCATTTATCAATTGCTGTGTAATAAACTATCTCAAAATATAGTGGCATACAATAATAATCATTTTATTTTGCTCATGTAGTCGTTGCGTTGGGATTCAGGTGACAGCAGGGCTGGATGGTCTCTGCTTCAGAGTGTCTGGGAACTCGACTGGGAAGACATGAATGTCTGGGCCTGGAATAATCCAAAAGTTTCTTGATCACAAGGCTGACACCTGGGCTGGATGACTTGAAGGCTAGACTAAGCTGGGACTGCCAACAGAAGTGTTTATACCGAATACCCTCTCCATGTGGCTTAGGCTTCATCAGAACATGGCAGCCTCAGGACAGTCACACACTTTTTACTTGTTAGCTCAGGGCTCCAAGATCTAGTGTGCCAACAGTAAAGGCAGAAGCTGATGGCCTTTTATGGCCCATCCCCCAGAAGTCAAAATATCACTTCTACTGTACTTGATTGGGTGAAGCAGCCACATAGTCACAAGCCTCATACAGAATCAAGAGAAGGGGACTTAAACCCCATCTCTCCATGGGAGGCATGTCAAAGATTTGCAGCCATGTCTTTAAAATGCCATGGAAGTATTTGGGGGAGTATTTAACCTTTACTGTTTTGGGTTGAAATTAAAGAGAAAAGATTCCAGGCTAAAAGTAAATGTGGATATAAATGGAATGAGGGGAAATTTCATGATGGGATCAAGACCGGGAGAACTCAGTCCAGGCAACAGAACCATCTTCATGATGAGGCTACAGTAAGTAGAAATGACAGAGCATTTGGATTGGCAGATCTGGCTCACTCACTATCTTCATCTATTTACACTCTTAACTGAAGTCTTAAAACTACAATCTAGTTGATTGAATTGTTTATTCAGATGGTCATGTAATGTCCACAGAATGTTTCCTTTTTTTAGGCTTATATACAAGTAATGATAATATGGATTTTAAGCTACAATTAAAATGTCCCTTTTCCATACGCCCTGACCTTTCTGGAAGGCTACATACACATCAGTCTGTATGACTCAGCTCAGGTCAGACATCATCTCTGCATAGCCCTTCATGAACCTACCTCCAAGTAGAGTTAGGGCCTCCTTCCCCTGTGATTTTGTTCCCCCTTAGTGCTATGTATATCTCTTACAGCATGCTAAGATTATGTGCTTTATTGTCTTTCTCATTAGACTGCTTGTTTTTCATGGCGACAACCAGGCCTTATTCTTCTTTGTACCTCCAGTGCCTCTATAGTTACTGGTACTTTTAGACACTTAGTAAATTTTTGTTGAATAAACAACACTCAACTAGAGTTGAATGGTGTACAGCTTTTTTATTCCCCAGATTCTCATAACCGATGGTCACTGAGCTCTAAAGTATGCCCAGGCTCTTGCCCTTCTCCTGAATGCCTTCCAAGACAGCAGATTTTGTACGTTCAGACACTGGTAGTTTTATATCTCTAGCTCAGACTTTTCCTCTAAGGTGCAGACTATGACATCTTTATTTTAAAATCCCAAGGGGGCCAAAACTAAGTCCATGTCTTTCACACATCCCCAACCATCCTTCTTTCTAAATCAGCAATAGCAGCTACAAACCACACACACCTGGCTCCCATCCAGTGTTTTCTGTCTCAGTAAGTGCCATTATCAGTCACCCTTGACTCCTCTGTCTGCTTCATTCCCCATATCCAGACATCACCAAGTAGGGCCATTATGCCTCTTCCTACAGTATGTCCAAATCTCTCATCTCCACTGCATTATCTCAGACCAATAGTTCTCCTGAAGTGCAGAAGCCATCTCAAAAGGTCTTTCAGAAGTTCTCCCAGCATCATATCTAAACCACCTCGTATCTATTTTCCACACTGCAGCTAGGATGACGTTTTAAAAATAGCAAATCTGACCATTTTACCACCACTTCCCCCTGGAGCCCAGCTAAACACACTCTGATGGCCTTCCACTGCTCTGGGATGAAGACTCTTCTTAATGCAACATGGAAGCCATTGTGTGATCTGCTGCCTGCCTGTCTTCCTCTGCAGCCGCCGGGGGAAGCATTGTTCTCTCACTCTCTCAGACTATAACTTTTTCTTGAGTTCTGTTATTTCCTGACACAGGACTTCTGCACAAGTTATATTCTCTCCTAGGAGTGCTTGTCCTACCTTCCTGTACCTTCTGTTATCAGCTTTACCATCTCTTCCTTAGAGGAGCCATAAGTCGAGGTCAGCCTTCTTTGTTATATGCTCTCAGACAAGATGTTTCTTTCTTTTAGCACTTATTTCAGTTCATAATTTCATGCTAATTTATGTGATGATGTCTGTATCTTTCACTAGACCAAAATTCTGTGAAGCCAGGCACTGAGTCTTTTTATGGTCACCACTGAGTTGCTGATGATAGGTGCTCAGCATGCGGTAGGCAGACATTCTACTGTTGGTTCATTCAATGTTTGAATTGCCATTGTTGATCCTTCTTGTGGTTATTGTTTATAAGGAACTATGCTAGAATAGATAGAAATTACCAGAAAGTGGTATAAAGAATTGCCAGTCAGCAGCCAATATTAAATTACATTACCTAATTCCAAATAAAGTATCTGTTATATAGTACAACTTTCTCAACTAATTTCAGGTCCCTTGTCTTTAATTTTTTCCAAGGTAAGCTATACTGGAGCACACATTATTGTAGGATTTGAAGATGGAGTTGTTCGACTTCTTGAACTTTATGATCCAAAAGGGCTCACAGTTTTTGCAGGACGGAAGAAAATTTTCGATGCTGATATTCAGTTGAAACGGGTTTTCAAACCCCATACTGCTTGTGTCACTGCCTTAGCTTATGAGCGTGATGGGGAAATTCTAGCCACAGGGGTAAGCAGTACATCTCCTTTCTTTTCTCGTTGAAATTTCATAGTTAACATTACCTTGTAACTCCTCCTACTTCATCATGACTTATTTACTGCAAACCATTTTCTATCAATATATTCATATTTGCTTTCTTTGTCATCATGTTCTTTCAGTGTAGTCTGTGAATAACCTTTTTTTTTAATCAGAAGAGAGCTGGAGCATGTGAATAACACTTAAAAATATTCTTACAAATTGAAATGCTTATTTTAAGTGAATAGAAAATTTCAACTGGGGATCATGCTAGATTGTATTATTTATAATCAGTTTCAGCATAGGTATGTACTTATATAGAATTGCCATAAATGAAGAGAATAACCATGTAGATTCTTTATGCACTAATAGGTGAGCATATACATGGTAGATTTTTGTGAATTTCTGAAAGTATGGTGATCAGATTTTCAGAGCCACATACACACATGGTTTGCCAAATGTTCTAATGGGGGAAAATGGAGCAAGTATTTGAAATAAGAATTCTCGCTGAATGATCTGGGATATATGACCATTGTAGATAGAGATACCGTATGCTTTTTAAACGCTTTTTTGTGATCTATAGACTAGATTTCATAGTAATATATATTTGGTTGGTGTGTCTCTTTTTCCTTAGAGTAAAGATCAAACTGTTTTCTTCTTTGAAGTGGAAAATGAGTATGAGCCAATTGGTTATATTAATACTCCTGGACCCGTGTGTCAGTTAATGTGGTCTCCTCTCTCTCATGTAAGTCATTATTATTTGTCTTCCTGCTTAATTCTCAATTACTGTATAGTGAAGCTATCTTGTAGATAGAGAATAGCAGGTGGAATTTTTAGCCCGCTCCTGGTTCTTGCAGTGAGGGTCAGGGATGCAGCAACAGAAAGCTCAGGTGGTGCTGCTGGCATTGGCCCATAGAGGATCACTCAGGAGCCTGCCCTCTCCTCACTGCCTCCTTTCTCTTCCACGGTCTTATTAGTTGACCATGATCCTCTCTGAAAATGCAGGGCTATGTCAGGCTTTGCTCCAACACTGGAGACTTTTGGCCACAGGCATGACATGTCAAAATGCTTTCACCTGGATCAGTCAGTCTCTCTGACAATCAGAAGCTGAATTCTAAGGCCTGAATGTACTTTCTCATCTTTACCTCTGCTTCTCCTCTGCCCTCAATCCACATCTGTTTTCTCCTCTATCCTTTTATTGCTTCTTGCTTAGCAATTGGCAATTCAGTATTGATTCCTAATCTCTTTTAATGTCTCTAGTTTTACTAAATGTGAGCATATGATAATTCAGTCATCTAAATATTGATTGACTATGCCAGGTGCCAGGATAATAATACTGATGAATTGCATAGAAGTGCCATCAGCATTATTGGAGTAACATTTGTAATCCACTTTAAGCTTTTCTAAATAAAAGGTCTATAAAATAGATTAGTATTATCTAAAAAATGCTTTTTGAAATTAGTCAACAAATGCTTATTGTTTATATCTTTTCTAGGCACTGTGATGGATTAAATAACCAGTCTCTCAAGGAGAAAAAAAATATACATTTAAAAAGTTAAATATACCTTATCACTGAACAATAAGGTTTCACAAAGGAATTGGTGACTAAAATATCCATGATATAGACTAAGCTTGTCTAACCCATAGCCCGTGGGCTGCATGCAGCCTAGGACAGCTTTGAATGAGGCACAACACAAATCCGTAAACTTTCTTAAAACATTATGAGATATTTTGCAATTTTTTTTAGCTCATCAGCTATTGTTAGTGTTAGTGTATTTATGTGTGGCCCAAGGCAATTCTTCCTTTTCCAGTGTGACCCAGGGAAGCCAAAATATTGGACACCCCTTCTGTAGACGATGTGTGTTGTGAATTTGGAGCAGGGAACTATCAAGAAAGAAAGAAGTTAAAATAAGTTGTTATTTTGTATTATCGTACCTTGATTTTGAGGAGTTGGTAGAGTACGAGCAGATGGATAAGAGGTGGGTACAGATGGTTCAGGTGAAGGGAATGATAGCTGCAAAGGAAGCTCTGTGAGAAAGCGTGAATGTTTATATCACAACATATAACATTGTGCGTCCTTCATTCACTTCACTACGTATAAATTAAAAAGATAAACCAACATTTGCCAGGGGTTAGGGGTGGTGAGTGGGAGGGGAGTGGGTGTGTGACATTAAAGAAGTAGCTTAAAGGAGACCTTTGTGGTGGTGATATAGTTTTGTGTCATAACACAAATCTACACATATGAAAAAATGATGTAGAGCTGTACACACATTCTATACTAATGTCCGTGTCCTGGGTGGTTTTGTATAGTTGCATAAGATGTAACCAGTGGTAGAAACTGAGTGAAAGGTATGTGATACCTCTCTGTACTATCTTTTCAACTTCCCGTAAATCTATACATATTTCAAAATATGTTTGAAAAATTAAAAGTAATTATTACTTTATTGTGTTGCTATAAAGGAATACTTGAGGCTGGGTAATTTGGCTCATGGCTTTGCAGGCTGTACAAGAAGCATGGTGCCAGCATCTGCTTCTGGTTAGGGCCTGACAGGCTTCTAGTCATGGAGGAAGGTGAAAGGGAGCCAGTCTGTAGAGATCAGGTGCTGAGAAAGGAAGCAAGAGGGAGAGTGGGGAGACAGGGCATGGTGGCGCACACCTGTAGTTTCAGCACTTTGGGAGGCCAAGGCAAGTGGATCACTTGAGTGCAGGAGTTGAAACAAGCCTGGGCAACATAGTGAAACCCCATCTCTACAAAAAATACAAAAATCAGCAAGGTGTGGTGGTGCATGCCTCTAGTCCCAGCTACTCGGGAGGTTGAAGTAGGAGGATGGCTTCAGGCTGCAGTGTGTCCGGATCGTGCTACCGTTCTCCAGCCTGGGTGTCAGAGTGAGACCCTATCACAAACAAACAAACAAAAGAGTGAGTGGGGAGGTGCCAGGCTCTTTTTAATAACCAGCTCTCCTGGGAATGAATAGGGTAAGAACTCACCTCAGGGAAGGCATCAATCTATTTGGGATGCATCCACACGCAAGACCAAAGCACCTCCCATTAGGCTCCCTGTCTAACATTAGAGATCAAATTTCAACATGAGATTTGGAGGGGATAAACATCCTGTAACAGTAGGCATACAAGACCAAAACACTTAGAATAATTTAAAAGTCATTTTGGGCAGTACTGCTTGCTAGCACTTGTATTTCTAATATCATTTGCAAGTTACTAAAGTAAGAGTAAGTTACTCTATGTAACTGATCTGCTGCAGACTTAAATTGTCCAAATTGCAATAGGCCTTATCCCTTACCCAGCTGAAATATCAGATCTCATACCTGAGCATAAAGCGCTAAGCTTCTGCCTGATGGTTTTGGATGGTTCCAGTAAGGGTGTACACACAGAACCATTCTGCCTGCCATGGTTACTACCATGTTCACTTTGGCAGCAGTGTGGAGAAGATACAAGGGAGCCAGGTCAGGGGCATGTGGATCTGTTAGGCAGCTGTGATGTGACTGGAGCATGAAAGACTGTGCAGACAAGAGATATTTAGAGAATTGACAGAATTTAGTGATCTTTTATTTTTGTGAAGATAATTTTGAGGTGTCTAAATGGAGTTCATTACCATTTCTCTAAGACATGTTCTTCTTCCCGTATTATTCTTGGCTCACCATTTTCCCTGTCACTAAAGCCAGAATCTTGAGAGTTATTCTGGTCTTTTTTAAATTATTATTTTTAGTTTTTGTAGGTACATAGTATATGTATATATGGGGTACATGAGATATTTTGATATAGGCATATAATGCTTAATAATCAAATTAGGGTAAATGGGATATCCATCACCTCAAGCATTTATCCTTTGTGTTACAATCCAATTATACTCTTTTAGTTATTTTAAAATGTGTAATAAATTATTGACTGTAGTCTCCCTGTTGTGCTATTAAATACTAGATCTTATTCATTCTATTTTTTCATATCTATATACCATCCCCACTTTGTGCCCCACTGCCACACCCACCACCCTTCTCAGCCCCTGGTAGCCATCATTCTAGTCTCTAACTCTATGAGTTCAGTTGTTTTAATTGTTGGCTCCCATAAATAAGTGAGACCATGTGATATCTGTCTTTTTGTGCCTGGCTTTTTTCACTTAGCATAATGACTTCCAGCTCCATCAAGGTTGTTGCAAATCACAGGATCTCATTCTTTTTTATGGCTGAAGAGTACACATCATGTACCACATTTTCTTTATCCATTCGCCTGTTGAAAGACACTTAGGTTGCTTTCAAATCTTGGCTATTGTGAATAGTGCTGCAATAAACATGGGGGTACAGATTATCTCTTCAGTATGCTGAATTCTTTTCTTTCGTGTATATACCCAGCAGTGTGATTGCTAGGTCATATATTAGCTCCATGTTTAGTTTTTTTGAGGAACCCCAAATTGCTCTCCATAGTGGTTGTACTAGTATACATTCCTACCAGCAGTGTACTTTACATCATTGCCAGCATTTGTCATTGCCTGTCTTTTTGGAAAAAAGCAATTTTAACAGGGATGAGATGATATCTCATTGTAGTTTTTATTTGCATTTCTCTGATAATTAATGATGTTGAGCACTTTTTCATATACCTGTTTGCTATTTGTATGTTTTCTTTTGAGAAATGTCTCTTCAGATCTTTTGCCAATTTTAAAATTGGATTAGTAGGTTTTTTCCCCCATAGAGCTGTTCAAGCTCCTTATATATTCTGGTTATTAATTCATTATCAGATGGATAATTTGCAAATATTTTCTCTCATTCTGTGGGATGTCTCTTCACTTTGTTGATGGCTTCCTTTGCTGTGCAGAAGGTTTTTAACTCGATGTGATTCCATTTGCCCATTTTCACTTTGGTTGCCTGTGCTTGTGGGTGTTACTCAAGAAATCTTTGCCCAGTCCAATGTCCTGGAGAGTTTCCCCAATGTTTTCTTTTAATTGTTTCATAGTTTTGAGGTCTTAAGTTTAAGGCTATAGTCTGTTTTGATTTGACTTTTGTACATGGCAAGAGATAGACGTCTAGTTTCATTATTCTGTATATAGATATCCAGTTTTTCCAGAACCGTTTATTGAAGAAACTGTCCTTTGTGCAATGTATGTTCTTGGCTTCTTTGTCAAAGATGAGTTCACTGTAGATGTATGGATTTGTTTCCAGGTTCTGTATTCTGTTCCATTGGCCTGTGTTTCTGTTTTTATGCTGTTTTTGTTACTATATCTCTGTAGTATAATTTGAAGTCAGGTAATGTGATTCATTCAGTTTTGTTCGTTTTGCTCAGCATAGCTTTGTCTATTCTGAGTCTTTTATGATTCTGTATAAATTTTAGGATTCTTTTTTCTATGTGTATGAAGAATGTGATTGCTATTTGTATAGGGATTGCATTCAATTTGTAGACTGCTTTGGATAGTACGGATATCCTAACAATATTGATTCTTCCCATCTATGAATATGGAATATCTTTCCTTTATGGTGTCCTCTTCAATTTTTTTCATCTATATTTTATAGTTGTCATTGTAGAGATCTTTCACTTCTTTGGTTAATTTAATTTCTATGTATTTTATTTTATTTGTAGCTATTGTAAGTGGGATTACTCTGTTGATCTTTTTTTCAGATTGCTTGCTGTTTGTGTATAGAAATGCTATTGATTTTTGTGTGTTGATTTTGTATCCTGCAACTTTACTGAATTTATTTACCAGTTCTAATAGTTTTTTGGGGGAGTTTTTAGATTTTACCA